AGGAAAAAACAAGTTTCTCAGAATTGTAGAAACAATGGACTCCATAGAGATGCAGGTATAATAGCTGGGCGGGAGGATGTGCTACCTAGATATGCTACCTGGCTACTTTTAAGTTTCCCAGTATTGTAGAAACAATGTACTTCCCGAAACTACCTGGCTGCAGTGGGAATGGCTTGGCAAAAACACAGGGTAAAGCAAAGGTCAGCTAGAGCAAAATGGAGCTAGTTTTGCCATTTCATTCCCCCCTGGTCTTAGGGTAGATTCAAAACCTTGACTGAATATCCTCAGGTGACAGGGGGCTGTACTGGCCTCTCAGGTATATTAATTTGACAGAGGCTATCTGTTGTTTGATAAGTTTAACAACTAGTTACTTAGGCAAGGCCTAGTCATTGGACCCAGCAGGAGAAGGATGAGGGGTCTAGTTAGGCCTGGAAACAAAGTAGTCAGCTGTGGATTCCAGTCATACCAGCAGTGGAACCAGGAGCTGTTGGCCTCTGTCTCCTTTTGAAAGGGTGGCAGGGGGTAGAGGAGGGAACCTGGAAGATATAGTGACATTAGAATAGACTGTAGCCTGGACTTGTTGGAAAGACTGGAGATACTTTAAGAGAGACTGATCAGTAATTTTTCAGAATAGGGTCCCTTAGTCTAGGTAGTAGGGGAGGTGGCCTTCTGAACATAATCTTACAGGGAGTGAAACCCATCTTATAAGGAGTACCTCTAACCCAGAGGAGGAGGGTCCGGAGCAGGAGACTGGGCCAGTTTTCACCACTCTCTAAGATTAATTTAGCATTATCTGAGCGAATTGATGGAGGCAGCCCAAACGTAGGAATTATTTTATATAGGAGAGGGGAGATCTGAAGGATGACTTTCCTCCGTGCTGCAGTAAGAAAGAAAAGTTCCTCTTACCTCAAGAGAGTTTGTGCCCCAAGCAGGAGATGTCCATCTGGCAAAGTTGAGCTTTCTTCATGGAGACGGGGTACCTCAGGACCTGGAGCAGCTGGAGCAGGTCTCAGGTGTCTTACAGGCAGGTGGCTGGGTCAACAGCAGTTAACAGGAGGTCGTTCACATATTGGGGTAATGTTGAGTCAGGTTGAAAGGCTCTGATGCTTGTCAAGTTCTTTTGAAGGGCTTCTCTGAACAGAGTTGGGTAATTTTGAACCAAGCCCAAATTTAGAGCTCAGGTGTCCTCTGGGGTCAGAGGAACAAAAGGACTCCTTAGGCCAGGCATGATGGCACACGCCTTTAGTCCCAACACTTGGGAGGCAGAGGCAGGTGGATCTCTGGGAGTTCAAGGTCAGCCTGGTCTACATAGCAAGTTCAAATTCAGCTAGGGATACAGGGAGGCCCTGTCTCAAAAACACCCCAAAAAAAAAAAAAAAAGGAAAAGAAAAGGACTCCTTAGACCCCTGAAAAACTTTGGATGGACCTGATTCCCTCTAGAAGAGTCTGGTGAAAAGTGTCCAATGCTTAGGAGCAGTCAGGACATGGGGCTTTTCAGAAAACAGGGGAGTGACTAGATGCAGGGCCCCCATGGCCCTGTCCTGTCCTGTCCTGTCCTGTGGTAGGGGCAGGGAGGAACTCAGCTCTTGGGAGGGACGAGAAGAGAGTGCCCAGTGGGGGTGGGAGACAGATAATGGAGCCCTCATTTCAAAGAAAGGTATGTAATGGGCATCTTTCCAAGGTACCTAGAGGCAGCAACAGAGCAGTTCCTGTGACCATCCCAGCCACAGGTCCTGCAAGCCTTCCCTTGGGGGCCCTTTCGAACTGGGGTTCAGGACAGAAGGCAGATGGGGAGGAGGGCTGGAGTTTGGCAGGATACCTGTACATATTCATAGCATCTCGCTAAGTAACATAGCACTAAGTAATTGGCACTGAGGGAGACACCTTTGGACCCCCTTTCACAGTACAGCTGGGGGTGGTTAGGGGACTTATCTGCCTGCTGTAGACACAGGAAACCTGGCCACATGGAGAAAGGTTATGGGCAGCTGTCTTGGGTTTAGGGCACTGCCAGTACATACAAGAGCCTATACAAAGTCATAACGTCACAGTAACTTTTTTTTTTTTTAAAATCTTTTTGAAACCCAACATTCTTTTTTTTAGGCATGAGACTCACTATTTAGCTGGGGCTGACCTTGAACTTGCAGAGATCTGCCTGCCTCTGCGTTCTGAGTGTTGGAATTAAAGTCTGGTGCCACCATGCCACACCTGGCTCAGCCTCAAATTCTTTTTTTTTTTTTTTTTTTTTTTTGAGACAGGGTCTCCCTGTAACCCCAGCTAGCTTGGAACTCACTATATAGACCAGTCTGGCCTTGAACTCACAGAGATCCACCTGCCTCTGCCTCCTGAGTGCTGGGATTAAAGGCATACACCACCATGCTCGGCTCAGCCTCAAATTCTTACTCTCCCTGCCTCAGCCTCTTGAGTGCTGGGATTACAGGTGTTTGCCACACACCCAGCTGTCTGAACATTTTTTTAAAAAACTGAGTGTGTTTCTTGTAAGTGTGTAAGTGTGCCACATGTGTGCAGTGCCCAAGGAGGCCAGAAGAGGCTGTCAAATCCCCTGGAACTAGAATTATAGGCAATTGTGAGCTGCCATGTAGGTGCTAGGAACAGAACCTGGGTCCTGTGCAAGAGCATCTGGTCTTCTTTCCAGTCTCTGTCTGACTTCTTTTACTTAACATGTTTTCAAAGTTTGTACAAGTTGTAGCAAATAGTAGTACTTCATTATTTTTTTATTGCTGAATATTCCATAGTAGGGATATGACATGTTGCTTTTCCTTTCATTAGCTGATAGAAATTTGAGCAAATCTCTGTAAAAAAAAGTTGTGTATTAAAAAAAAAAATTCCATTAGGTCTGGATAGATGGCTCGACTGTAAAGAGTACTTGCTACTCTTGCAGAGGGCCTGAATTTGGCTCCCAGGACCCACATTATACACCTCACAACTGCCTGTAACTCCAGATTCAGGGGATCTGAGCCCTTTTCTGGTCTCTGCAGGTACCTGCACATGTGGCACACACATACACATATAAACATAAATTTAAAAAAATAAATTCCAGGGCTGGAGGTGTAGCTCAGTGGTACAATACTTGTTTCAGCATGGTTGAGACCCTGGGTTAGTTCCCTAGCACAAAATAAAATAAAAGATTACAAATGAATGCCATAGTTTCATGTTAGTGTGACACACTGCTGATCTTTGAAGCATGTGTTTTCTTCAGTGCAAATGAAAAAAATTGAGATTTCAGTAAGTTGTATACCTTTGAAGTTGAATAGTGGTAAAAATATGTTCTGTTAAAAACCTTGGAGATTTGTCCATCTCATTGTGACACATGCACCATTCACATAACATGTGCATTTGTATGTAAGTATGTAGCATACTAATTACATATGCTGCTTTGCTAATGCAATTATTATTTTCAAATAACAAAACACTGTTGCAAATAACCTTTGTTTTTTGCGGTTTGGGGAGATACAGTACTTGCTTTCTTACTGCCCTGTGATCATTGCTGCTGCCTCCCTGAGATGTGGGGAAACCCCAGGGACCTTGACGCCAGGAAGGAGGGCTCTCTCCTTGCTATATAGGATCAATCCTCTGTGTCCAAAGAGAGATCAAATTGTTCCAGAGGGCATGAGTGCTGTTTTTAGTTCTCCATGCCTCTGAGGAAGCATTTCAAATCATCCCTGTTGCCTTTTATTCTTCAGGTTTTCTCCTCAGCCTTCCCTGGTGTGATGGTTAATGTTAACTGTTAACTGTCAACTTGACAGGATCTAGACTCACCCGGGAGATGGACCTCTAGGCATGCCTGTAGGGGATTATCTTGATTATGTTAATTGACGTGGGGAACCATCTCATTGTGGGCAGAACCATTTCTGGGGCTAGAGATCCAGGACTGTAACATGGAGAAGAACTGAGCACTAGCATGCATGCATTCATCCCTCACTGTTTGCTAATAGTGGATTTGATGTGACCAGCTGCTTCAAGCTCTTGCTGCTTTGACTCTCCTGCCGTGATTGACTGTACGGGAACTGTGAGCTAAAATAAGCCCTTTCTCCCTTTAGCTGCTTTTAAGCTCCCGTAAAATGCTCCAATAAAATCGGAGGATTTTATCACAGCAACAGGAAAAGAAGCTAAGATACCTGAGTAATGCATTAACAGGGTGACACAGCTGGTAAAAAGTGTGGCCTAGGTCAGGCAGGGTGGCAACATTTTAAAATTCTATTTATTCATCTATTGGGTGGCATGTACATGCCATGGCATGTGTGGAGATTAGAGCACAATTTGCAAGTTGATTCTTTTCCTTCCATATGGGCCCCAGGGATTGAACTCAGGTCATCAGGCATGGGGGTAAGCACCTTTACTTGCTGAGCCCTCTCACCAGCTCCTGATAGCAGCTTGTAAGCCCAACTTCTCCGGAAGCAGAGGTAAGAGGATCACCTATTTAAGGCCAGCTTGGAAAACATAGTAATACCCTGTCTCAAAACACAGGATAGGATGGGATTGAATAGATGCATAGGATAATGGAAAAGAGCAGGTACGTTCTGTCTCCTAGTTCATATTCACTTCCTACCTACAGCCTCCTTCTATCTGTCTGGTGCCCTTGGCCCTTAATAAGGCTCACTGCCACTAACCACTCGCTGTGGAGAGCTGAGTCTACACAGGGCTTCACTCATGGCCTCTGAGACCTGGAGAACCTGAAGAGGCAGCCCCTTGGCTATAGGCACCTTGTCTGTCCTTTGCTGTAGTAGCTGCACCTCTGTCCAACACATAGGTACACCAACATGGTGGGTGGCCCATCACTGGCCTTCAATGTGGAGCCTTCATCTAGTCATTTGAGAAACAGAAATCTTCTAGCATTTCTCTCCCAAATATGAAGGTACTTTGCCCAGGTATCTCAAGTGGATGCTAGGGGCTGGAGGTGGTGCTGGGGGCAGGAAGGGGAGGGAATCTGGCTTGAATGTGGTTGGGGTGGTCTCTAACCTGCCTTTCTGCTCCCTATCCAGGGCTGCCCATGTATATGAAGTCCCTGCGCTGGGCCCTGGTGGTCATGGCTGTGTTTCTGGCGGTGTGCACAGTTACCATTGTGGCCCTGGCCTCTACAACAGGTATGGTGTCCCCTGTTCCCACTCTGTGCACTCACAGTACCTTTGAGATCAGAAAGAGATAAAGCATGAAGACACAGGCTTGTTGAGCAAAGGGAAGAGAACTTGACCCCATCCTCCCATTGGTCACAGCTTGTGACCAGACTGGTAATGGAAATACCAATCCCCATCCAGGGAAACTGTACAGTGTGTAGGCTGTGCCTTCCTGGGACTCTGCCCACTCTCCTTCCTACCCCAAGGCTTACCAGCTTCCTACCTCTAGATTCACCTCAGCCAAGGTCATGGCCAGGCTTTGATTTTCATTTTTTAAAATTTTATTTTATGTGTATGAGTGTATTGCCTGCGTATATGTAAGTGCACCCAGGTCATGCAGTGTCTGCAGAGAGCAGAGGAGGGCGTCAGATCCCCTGGAACTGGAGTTAAAGGATTGTTGTTAGCTACCATATGGGTGCTGAGATTCAAACCCAGGTCTTCTGCAAGAACAGCAAGTGTTCTTAACCGCTGAGCCATCTCCCCAGCTCCAGGCTTTGATTTTCTGTGCACATGTGGAGTGCTTTAGACTTTCCCCTTGACTCACAGGATCTCTGTGTTTTCAGGAGCCAGGTGCCAGCCATGCCCACATGGCTAGATGTGGCCTGAGGAGCGCTGCTGCTACTTCTCTGAAGAAACCCAAGACTTGGAGGGCAGCCGGGCATTCTGCTCAGCCCGCCATGCCACACTGCTCCTGCTGAACCACACCCAGGTGACATGAGCTAGCTGGCCAGATCCCAGAATCCTGGCTCTGGAAGGAATCTCTAAGATCTCGTCCTTCACACTGGCAGTCACCATTGCCAAAAGGAATAAAGTGACATGAATGGGGACCAGATGTCAGGTCTCTAAGTATTTCATCCTAAGAGCAAGGCACAGCTGGGATGTTCCCATCCAGGCTTGCTGGGAAAGACCCAGCAATATGAAATTCTTGGTAATTCATATAGAAAATACAGCATGTTTAGCACTGTACAAGTCAGGTATTGCTTTAAGTACTAAGTAACAAGTGTCTCAAAATTCCTCAGTGCCTTGTGACCACAAGCATTTATTTCTTGATGGCCAATCTTTGGGTGATTGTCGATGATTGGTCTTGGCTGCATTGGCTAGGTAGCTCAGCTTCAAGATGCTGATTGGCTGGCGAGGCTGCAAGGTGGGTTTGTGTGTGCCATGCAAGTCTTACTCTTTCCTGAGAGACACTATATAAGAAAAGTGGCAGAAGATCTAGAAGCAAGCCCTATTGCATGCACCACTTAAGGGCACGGCTCCTGTCATCTGTCACTGGTCCTTGGCAGTAACAAGGACAAGGATATGATATGTGTCCCCAGAGGAGTGGGAGGAGCTAATATTTGCTGTGTAGTATCCAATTGGTGGGTTTGAGAGTGGCCAAAAAAACCAGAAACAACCAACCAATAAACTGGATCCAGATGAATAAGCTGGCTTAGTTTTTTCCCCCTAATTAAAACAACAAAAATACTTGTACATACATAGTTTACCACCATAGCTGTTTTAACCATATAATTCCATGGCATCAAATATGTTCACAATGTTGTCCACCTCTCACCAGCATCCATCTCCTGAACTTTTCATCCCCATTAAATATTAACCCCCCCATCACCCCTCCCACCGGTCCCTGGTAACCTATGGTAATCATCATATCTTCTGTCTGAATTTGACCAATCCAAGTACCTTGTGTGCATAGAACCATACAGGATTTGTCTTTGTGTGGCTGGCTTGCTTTCTTTTTCTTTTTTCTTTTTTTCATTTACCATAAATATCTTCAGGTTCATCTCTATCATAAATGTCAGCATTTTCTCTCTCTCTCTCTCTCTCTCTCTCTCTCTCTCTCTCTCTCTCTCTCATGCTGTCTCTCTCTCTCTCATGCTGAGTTTTAAACCCAAGGTCTTGCTCATATCTGGCAAGCACTTTACCACTGAGCTGTATTCACATCCCCTCTTTTTTAGGACTGGATGATATTCCATTGTCAGCATAGGATGTGTTTTGCTTATGACACCCAGGTTGTGTCCATGTCTGAGTTATGAACGATACACTTTTTGGATGTTTCCAAAATAGCTGTATCGTTTACTACATAAACAGGGTGTGGCAACACATTTCTGGAATTCTAGTTAAAAATAAGAAGAGGATGCTGCGCATGGTGGCGCACACCTTTAGTCCCAGCACTCAGGAGGCAGAGGTAGGCAGATCTCTGTGAGTTCAAGGCCAGCCTGGTCTACATAGTTCCAGGATAGCTAGGGCTACAGGAAAAAAAAAAAAAAGAAGAGGAGACTGGGTGTGGTGGCGCACGCCTTTAATCCCAGCACTGGGAAGGCAGAGGCAGGTGGATCTCTGAGTTCAAGGTCAGCCTGGATATAGTGAGTTCTAGACCAGCTGGGGCTACAGGGAGACCCTGTCTCAAAAAGACCAAAAAAAAAAAACAAATAGGAGGAGGAAGAGAGACCCTGTGCTAGATCTGTCATGATAAATAAAAATAGAAATAGCTCTGTTCTAGAAAGGGGGTTAGCTTCACCTCACTGTAGTGAAATAGGCCGCTAAATTTTTTGTGCAGGATATGTGTGTTCAAGTATGTGCAGGTGCACATATGGATGCACATCCACATGTATGCTGTGTGTGGAGGCCATAAGTCAACCTGGGGAGGGAGCTGTCCATCTTGTTTTTTTGAAACAGGATCTTACCTTGGGACCTGGGGCTCACTAGTTTGGCTGGCCAGCAAGCCCCTGACACCTACCTGTCTTCACCTCCCCAGTGCTGAGATTACAGGCACATTACACCTCCCGCTCCCCCCAAGCCTAGCCCATGGGTGCTAGGGATCAAACTCAGGTTCTTATGTTTGCACAGCAAGCACTTTAACCTCCTGAGCCATCTCCTCAGCCCACAACTAACTTAATAAGGAAAAAATGTTCACTTAGCATCAGCTCAGTTCTGGTAAGGGCAGCAGATAGTGGCACATCATGGCAGGGACTCCTGTAGCAGTGAGGGGTTACTCACTACCAGGAAGCAGAGACAAGGAGAGAGAGACCAGAGTCCCTTTCCTTTAAGGGCACACTCCCAGGGACCTGAGGATGTTCTACATAACCTGTACCTGGAAGGTCCACAGCACCACTCTGGGGACCAAGGCCTTTACATGTGGGCCTTTGGGTGCACTCATCTAAACCACAGCAGGGAGAAAGGAGTCACTGACCTGTCCCACTGCCCTTCTGGAGGGTCTTCTACCTTTCAGGCGTGTGAGGTTGCTCGCTCCTCCACACTTGTGCTCTTAGGGAGTCTGCCTTTCAGTTTTGTTTTTTCTAATTTTTCTTTAAATTTTTATAGATGAGTGAGACTCAGTTTGCATTTCTTTTGTTAATAAATTAGACTGAATGTTTCTCATTCTTTTTTGCTGTGCTGGGGATTGAACTTAGGACCTCACACATGCTAGGCAAGTGCTTTACCACTGAACTATGTGCCTAGTCTGCTGCTTCTCGTTCCTTTTTGGATATGTTCTTGGAGTTGTTCATTCATACCCTGTCATCTTCCTAGGGTATTATGTAGGGACCATGCTTATGTCCTTAGGCATAGCTGTATGGAATCTCCACTCTAGATAGCCTGCAGAGCCCTAGGTCTTCTGCTGGCAACCAGGTGGAGCCGAAGGGGAAAGTGGGGCCGGACAAGATCAGAGCTCACAGCTCCTGGGAGGCCTTAGGTCTCCTGCTCCAGTGATCTGTCAGTTCTGGAGGCTGAAAATCGAAGACCTGGGTATCGGTAGCTTTGGTTTTTCTGAAGCCTTGATCAAATTCTTTGATTTACAGGTGGCTTGCTGTGTCCTCATTTGATGGTCCCTCTGTAATCCCAAATCCCCAGGGTCTGTGTGCCTCTCCATTTCTTCCTCATAAGGACTCCTCTTACAAGTAGTCAGACTGGACTGGAGCCACCTGAAGAGCCTCATTCTAATTTATCACTTCTCTCAAAGTGAGACTCCATGCACAGTGCTGTTGTAAGCTTAAGCTGCAGCACATAAACTGTAGAGGACATAATTCATCCATCTGGAATCTGCATATCTCAGACTGATATGCATAGTATTCTATTCATCTCATTGTTTAATGAGTTCAAAAAGAACAAGTAACATGTAAGGTCCAGACAGACCACCAACTTTTTTCCATTTCATTGATGACAAATTTTGTTTTGTATTGTTCTCTGAGAGGTCTAGCTGTGTAGCTCAGGCTGGCCTGGAATGAGTGATTGTCCTGCTTCAGCCTCCAAGTGCTAGGATTACAGGTCTGTGCCACCATACCCAGCTTCAACGAAGAATCTAGAAGCAGAGAAAAGTCAAGAAACTTGCCCAGATTACAGAATGTTGGAGAGTATATCTGCTTCAGGTGGCCTGGCTCAGATGCCACCCCTTACCCCATCTCTAATGATACATTGGGTCATAACCAGCATCAGCCTGACCCTCTCCTAGCTCCCATGGCAGACTCAGGAAAAGCTGGCTTGTGTTTCCTCATTGAGTTCAGGTAAATATAGCCAGTGGCAAGATTTTACAGTGAACAGGGGTTATTCTCTAATCAGGAGTGTTACTTTTTTTTTTTTCGTCTTTTTGAGACAGGGTCTTCCTGTAGCCCCAGCTGTCTCAGAACTCACTATGTAGACCAGGCTGGCCTTGAACTCACAGAGATATACCTGCCTCTGCCTCCCAAGTGCTGGGATTAAAGGCCTGTGCCACTACACCTAGCTTATTATTTTTATTTTATGTGTGTGCATGTATTGCCTGGAGGTAAGTGTACCCGTGTCGTGCAGTGCCTGAGGAGACAGAAGAGGATGCCAGATACCCTGGAACTGGAGTTATGGACAGTTGTTAGCTGCCATGTGGGTGCTGGGATTCGAACCAGGGTCTTCTGCAAGAACAGCCAGTGTTCTTAACCGCTGAGCCATCTCTCCAGCCCCAGGACTGTTATTTTTTTAAAAAAATAGAACATAGGGGCTAGAGAGATGGCTCAGTGATTAAGAACACTGGTTGTTCTTGCAGAAGACCCTGGTTCGAATCCCAGCACCCACATGGCAGCTAACAACTGTCCATAACAACTGTCTGTAACTCCAGTTCCAGGGGATCTGATAGCCTCTTCTGTCCTCCGAGGGCATTGCACGACACGGGTGCACTTACCAGCATGCGGGCAATACGTGCATACACATTAAATAAAAATAATAAAAATATTTTTTTAAAAAGAACATAGCTGTGATGGAGCACGCTTCTGTCTCTGCTTCTTGCATGCTAAGATCACAGGCAGGCTGCCATACACACCTAGCTTTTAAGTGACTTCCGGGGATCTCAACTCTGGTCCTGTCCTCATGTTTGCACAGCAAGCACTTACTTGGCCAGCTGAACCATCTCCCTCGCCCCTCAAACTTAGAAGATCTTAATATCATAAATACGTGCAAGAGGAGGGACGGGATGCATCTCAGTGGAGCACATGCTTAGCATGCATGAGGCTCTGGGTTCAGTTCTTAGCACTGCACTTCTAAAGTTAGAACTTGAGTCAAAACATTCTGGGGAGAGAAATGACCCATCCAGCTTGGTTGCATCGCAAAATGGACAGTGTGGACATGGTGGGCCCAGAGGTGGGTCCCAAGAAAGTGTCAGGAGCTAGTGAGGATTTGCCAGTTCAGCATTATTCTTCCTGAAACAGCCATTGAATGCTGCAGCTGCCACCAGAAAACTGGGCCCCTGTCTTCCAGCCACCCAGCAGACACAGTCAACCCACTTAGACCTTGGTAGAACAATTCTGTTTCCAGGGGGAGATGAGTTTAACTATCCACTTTAGAAACAACTTGAGATGAATTGTTTATAAAAGCTAGCTCAAGTAAATATGTAGAAAACGCCTCGCCAAGTCAGAAACTCCTCTGTTGAAAGATGGAGCCAAGATTCAGAATCTAGGCCCTTAACATCTAGAATTTTCTGGGTTCTGGACAAGGTTCCAGGAAGTTCAGCAGGTATGGCATGGGGAGCGGGAAGAATATACAAGTGGGGAGCACAAACCTCAAGGATACCTGGGTGTCAGGGTTCCCACAGCTATAGTGTCAACACTGGTCATCTTGCCAGAACCCTCATGCCTAGAGGGAATAAAAGGCAAGATGCACCCCTATAATGCTAGCACTCAGAAACAGGCAGGATTGCCATGAGTTCAAAGCCAGCCTGGCTGCAGGGTGAAACCCAACCTATATACCCTCCTGGGCCTTGTATCTGCAGAAGCCCAGAGGTTCACCTATTTTGGACTTGAAGCATGCCTTATGCCGCATCCATGGGGCACCTGCAGCTAGTCAATAATTGCCTTTGATTGGAAGAACCCCACCACTGCTGGAAAGAGCAATTAACCTGGGCTCGATTGCCCCAAGGATCAAAAACTTCACCACGATATTTGGGTAAACCTCAGCAGATGACCC